ACATAGTGCTTGTATTTTCAACATAGTTTCTGTAAAACAGATTAAATGGGAGAAAACTATGCCTTAAGTTTAAATGAAAATGAGGACATGACTACTGCAAGGTATGATTGAGAGGGAAGGGTTTTATTGTAGATATGAGGGAGAAAACAACAGCCAGAGGCATCTGAAAGGGTCCACACTGAGCAGGGCCTGAGAGACGTGGGGTGAATGAGAGAGGAAGAGAAGAAACAGGGGGCCAGGAGCAAAGAGCAAAGGACCAAGAAGCCTAGAAAGACAGAAGAACCAAGAGGCCAAGAGAGTGCATAGGCTGAAATGGCTGCATTATATAGGAAAGAGAAGCCTAGGGGAAGAGAAGCACATAGCCCAGTCTCTGGGCTGGAGATGTTTAGAGCAGGAGGCAGGATGAGAAGTGCTGGGAGGAGCAACAGGTAAGACTTGTCCCAGGTTTCTTTGGGACCTGACAAAGTTCTACATGATTGATGCAATACCTCAGTCATTGCCACTGCCAATCTTCCTGACATAAGGTTTTATAACTGAAAGGTAAATAATTACAGATGAAATTTTGCAAAATGTTTCCCATGCTCAAGTAAACTCTTACTTATATAACAAATGCCCCTGAAACACATTGCTTTCACAAGGACTAATTTTAAAGGCAAGATGGGTCATCAGATAAACTCAGTTGCCACCAAATCTGATGACTTTATTTCAGTCCCTGGGACCCACATGGTAGTAGAAGATAACCAATGCCCAAAATTTGTGCTTTGATTTCTACAGGAACATTGTAGAATGTGTATACCTCCCAAATAAATAAATAAATGTAATTAAAAACATCTTCTTTTTGACTTTTAAAGATTTATTTATTTATGCCAGGTGGTGGTGGCACACGCCTTTAATCCCAGCACTCGGGAGGCAGAGCCAGGTGGATCTCTGTGAGTTTGAGGCCAGCCTGATCTACAGAGCAAGATCCAGGACAGGCACCAAAACTACACAGAGAAACCCTGTCTCAAAAAAAATTTATTTATTATGTATACAATGTTCTGCCTGCATGTATGACTGCATGCCTTAAGAGGGCACCAGATCTCATTATAGATGGTCATGAGTCACCATGTGGATGCTGGGTATTGAACTCAGGACCTCTGGAAGAACAGCCAGTGCTGTTAGCCTCTGAACCATCTCTCCAGCCCAATTAAAAACATCTTAAAGGGTATAGTATAAGTATATTTTCAGTATAATGTCTCATATAATGGGAGTCAACCAGAATTTACTAAATGAATTTCCTTAACTTTTTTTTCTATAATGTCCATATCTAATAATAACTCATGGTCAAGTTTCTCTTATATTTAAGCCACCTATTGAGTAAAAAATCCTAACAGTATTTAAACGTGTTTCTCATTTAAGGGTTTAGTATGGGTACAGCTAGTTCAGAAGATTGACTTTGAAATGAGAGTCAATGTAGGTCCTGCTAGCATTTCTGAAGGAGTCATCCTATGCTCATAGACTGCATGGCCTTGAGCAGTTGGTAGGTGGCAGCAAGAGACCAGAAATTATGCTTTATAACTAAGCAGCACTCTGGAAATGTTCTTTGGTTTCTTTGGTTTTAGGTTTTCAGACAGGATTTCATTTAATACAGACTAGCCTCAAACTTGCAGTGTTACACCTGCCTCACTCTCCCTAATTCAGGGGTTATAGGCATGTGCAACCACACCCAGCCAGAGGGTTCTTTTTAATGTTATTGTTTCACTAATTTATAAAAATAAAACAGGATATCTGCAAATCGGGTAGACAATAAATACAAATAAGCAGGATGCAGCTAATTAACAGAACATGGGCTACATTAAGCCCTTGTCTCATAATATTTCAACAAATTATCAAAAGGTTGAGGGTTAGTTTTATTATTCTTTTCTCTCCTCTCTAATCTCCATCTCAAGGTCTGGCTACAAAACCCAGGCTGGCCTCAAACTCCTGATTTCCTTTCTTCAGAGTGCTGGGATTATAGGCATGTGCCACCATGCCTGGTTTTTAGATTTTTTCATTAGTCTATATTTTACCTCTTTGTAAGTACTAAAATCCTTAATGCTTAACAGACATGTGGGTGTGGCATATTTGAACTTCCATTCTTTTTAATTTTAGATCTACTCCTATTGTAATGTTTTTTTGCCCCCCAAGCATTGAACTGGTCAGAGTTTAAATTACAGGGGAAAAGAGGTACTCAGAAGAAATGATTTAGCATTTTAGCATTTAGTGTTAAGTGGCTAATAGAGTTGTTGAAGGGGCTAAGGAGAGAGGCTCTAGGTCACTTCCTCCCAGTCTTAGCTTTATTCATGCCACAAGCATCTGAAATGCAGTTCTGGAACCCACTGAAGACATGTCAGCCTTCACTGTAGAACTGGGTCATCTCAAGAACTGATTGATGATCCTTTGGTGGCTATACAATGAGACCTGTCTTCTGACTACCCTACAAAAAGGAGGGGAGCCATATACATATTTCCTTTACTATATTTTTTATGATGGTGAAAAATAAGAAGCAGTCTGAATGTGCAATAACAGATTAAATTAAAATATTATATAATATACATATAATATAATGAATTAAAATATTCATTAGAAATACTATGACTTGGAAAAGACAACAAAAGTTCAATTCATACTTAAAGCATGTATATTTTATATTAATGTTGTAGTTGAATACATGCTGTATTTAAATACATACATATATATGCACACACATACATACATATGTATACACACATACATATATGCACACACATATCTATATATAGAGAGAGAGAGGGAAAGAGGGAAAACATAGTAAAAAATGATATCAGATGTGTTAAGATTATGGGTGATTGATTTTTTAAAATTTTCTAAATTTTTCTAGATCTCTATTTAAAGTTACTTAATATTAAAAACACTTGCTTACAATTCTAAAGTCTTAGAGCCACATTTTATTAGCAATCCATGCTGAATTGGTACATAAAAATTTCCATTTACTAATGTTCAGCTGTTGGCAGACACAATACAGTTTTTAGCAAAGCAAATGTCAATTGCTGCTATAACACTTCTAAAGTTAAAACGGAGCTACATAATAACTGGCAGAGGTACTCCTGGGTAAATGTGGAGAAAAGTCAAGGGTTGATTAAGAAAAGGAAAATGTCAGCCTTCCCAGTCAATGATTTTTAAGACACAGAACTATGGGGAGGATGCATTGATGGGGAGGACACAATCTTACAAGAACTTGTAAGACAACTGAGCTGCATAGCAAAGATGTGGGGTACCTGGAGGTATCCCAGGGAAAGTAGGTTCCAGAGAAGATTTTTTATTGTGTTGTACTGAGAGCTGTGAGCAGTGGACACCTTCAGGATTTGGGGAAGCACAAAATAACAGGTTAGAGAAGGTTTGCTTCTGAATGTAATGGAGAGAATTTGAAAACACCTGAGAATTACTTAAAATCTATGTTGATTCCATGGTCTTCAAGAAGTGACTTGGGAGATAAGAGGAAGGAGTTAAATCTGCAATACCAAGAATAATTACCTTCATTAGGTAAATTGATCCAGACTAGCACTTCTAGAACATGTCTTACTGATTTGATCACACTCAAGTTTTAGTGTACTTATTCACTTTGGTACAGAGTCTCACCACATAGTCTTAGCTGGCCTGGAACCAGGCTGGTCTCATACTCACAAGAGATCAGCCAACCTCTACCTCTCCAGTATTGAGATTAAAGGAGTATGCCACCACACCTGGCCCTGAGTTTTGTGTGTGGGTTCCCAGACAGAATTAGCACACAGTATTTAATTAAGTTGTAGTAGATTCTTTTATTCGGAAAGATGAAAAAAAAATGTGTAAAGGTATCGAGGCCAACAAATAAATTGAGAAATGGAAATTCTCACATATAAAAGAATTTGAAATTTAGAAAGCAGGTTATCAAAAGTTTTATCCTGATTATTTGGAGTGATGGGCTAATATAAGGTAAGACCTTAAATATCTCACCAGAAATATAATTCTCTAAATATAAACTGTCTTAACTGCCCTAGGCAACTGAAATGTCACTGACCAGTAATCAAGACCATGAAAACAAAACTACAAAACATATAAAACTGTATGACAACAGACAAGATGACTGTAAGCGTTTGTTCCTATTAGCATGAGACAAAATTATTAAAATTTCTCCTTCTAGACATCTATGTAGAATAGGGATTCAGGTACAAGCTTTTTTTAATCAGCAGACTGACTATAAAGGTCAACCTTAACTTATGGTTTAGTTCACAATCACCATGGATTTGGCAGTTGCCAAAACATTTCAGAATTAATTCTCTGACCTAATACCCTGTGCCACTACGCTTATGCAGGGCCTTCATTTCAAACGCAAATCTCGGGAGTCATTGAGGGGTTGGAAATGGGGATATTGTTTCAAGGGCACAAAATTGGTTCATATCAAGTGGAGAACACATTTACAGACCATAGTTAAGATTGATAAATATATATCTGAAATTGTTGAGATCTTAAATGAAATCAGATGTGAGATGAATGTTAATTAACTTGAATTAATCTCTTTACAGTATACCTATATAAAAACACATAAAACTTAGAAAAATTCTTTGACATTTTATCCTTGTATATAATGAATTTTGATAATTTTTATCTCCTGTTACCTATCCTCTCTCCCCAGCCCACTCTGGCTCTACCCCTTCCTCCTCCCAACAAGTCCACTCTTAGTTTCATCCTTAACAAAAGAAAAAAACTCTTTTTTGTGTGTCAAATAAACGTCAGTGGGTAGATGAATATGTTAGTTTGGTTTAATCCCCTCGCGGCCCGACCTTGGGCACTCTAGAGAACCGGGTCCTGGGGACCCGCGAGCCCGCCGCCTTGCGTCCGTCGCCCTCACTGCGGGCCGCCGTCGTGTGCGGCCTTCTGACGCATGACCCGGCGCTCGCGTCCGGGCCGCCGCCGCCGCCGCCGCCGCCGGGCACCCGCGCCAGCGCCACGAGCCTCCTCCGCGCCGCCGCAGCACCCGCGCCGCACATCCCGCTCCGCTTGCTCGCGAGAAGGCTGGCCACCATGGCGGAGCCGCTCAAGTCTGTGGACTACGAAGTGTTCGGGAGAGTGCAGGGTACATCCTGACCCCGGGAGGCCAGGACGGGGCTGTGGGAGGGCCAGGAGAAAGCTAGTGCCATCCGCCTTAGGGCTGCCTCTTCCTTCTGAGGCACGGACTTCCGCTCAGCCATGACACAGCAGCCGCGCGTGGGAAGGATGGGCATTGCGCGTGCGCAGGAGAGCTGCGGGAGGGAGGCGCCTGGGTGTGGAGGGACAGCACCCCGAGTGTCCGAGGGGCCGGCTGCCACTCTACTGGAAAACGCTGGAGTGGGTCGGAAAAGCAGAGGTTATTGGTCACAAAGGGTTGTCAGGCTTGGGTTTAGCAAGGATACCTTAATGATACTGGATGGTTTACTTCGTCAGAGGTTGTAGTCCCTCTCCAGCTAACTAGCAATTTTTCCTTCCTTGGATTTTGGAGATTGAGCCTTACATTTTTATACATATTTTGTGCACTATACCATTGCACGACACTCTTAGGCAATTTAAATGAGTTTTCTAATTTTTGTTTCATTATAAGCTTAGATAGTTGCACAGAACATAATGTCTGACTTATTGTATAATCTTTATATTTGTAATTTAAAATGTTAAAACATTCTTTGAAATTTACCTAATGGGGCTTGACATGGATATGGTGGCCCACGCCTTCTCGTTCGGCAAAAGCAAGTGGATCTCTTTGAGTTCGAGACTAGTGTAGTCTACACACAGAGAAAATGATCTAATGAAATGCCAGTACTGTAAAGATTTAATATACACTATTATTCCTTTAAAAGAAGAAAGGTTTTTGAGACTGGGAATATAGCTCAGTTGGTAGAGTGCTTGCCTAATTTTCACCTAGCTCTGGATTGAATACTCTGCACTACACCAATGTGGTGTGGTGGCATAAACCTATAATCCAGCCGGCACTTGGGAGATGGCTAGGTATCAAGTTGAAGCCAGTCGAGGCTCCATGAGACCCTGTCTCCAAAATAAAAACAAGGCTCTTTTACAATGATATAACTTCCTGCTTGAGTCTGAATTTTCATGATAAATCCCACTATTCAGGAGAGTTTCTTACTGCTCACTCCATCTGGACCCCACTCCCACCCCAGATGTGCTGTCTATGTGTGTAATAAAAACAGGATATGGGATGCTTGTATTAACTGCCAATAGCAATAAGCTTTAATGGTAACTATTCATAGATTTAAAAGGTGAGTTTGTATTGGGAATTTATTTCTAAGCAGGAAAGCTGGGATTTTTTTTTTTTTTTTTTTTTTTTTTGGTTTTTCGAGACAGGGTTTCTCTGTGTAGCTTTGCGCCTTTCCTGGAACTCGCTTTGGAGACCAGGCTGGCCTCGAACTCACAGAGATCCGCCTGGCTCTGCCTCCCGAGTGCTGGGATTAAAGGCGTGCGCCACCACCGCCCGGCTCGGGATTTTTTTTTTAATAGAACCTTCTTTTAAAAAGAGAGGAATATTATCCTTTTGTTATTATTTTTGTCCATTTTGTTATTTTATAGATATTTTACACTTTGGGGCAATGTATCCAGGGTAAGGTTAAAAAATGGATAGAAGTGTTTTATTGTTGTTGTTGTTGTTGTTTGTTTGTCCTTATAAGGCACCTTTGCTTCACAGAGTCATTATGAAAAGGGAGGTAGGGAAGGAAATTCACGGCAGACAAATCTGAGGTCAGGTTTAGGAAACAATGTGCAAGGAAGCTGAAAATTTGAAAAGTGATTCCCTTACAATTCTTGGGTTTGTACCTTTAGAAAGTGCATCAGGAGTCATGGCCATAGTACCCATCTGATCCTGTCTGATCCCAGAAGCTGAGCAGTATTGGGCCTGGTTAGTACTTTTGATACTGTGGTAACTTGACTACATCTAGAGTTAACTAAAACCCAAAAATGGAGGTCACATTTCAGAGGCATTTTTGTTTAATTTGAAGTGGGAAGATCTGCTTCTAATCCATATCTTTGAGGTAGAAAGACCAACCTCTAATTTGGGCCACACCTTCTGGAGGCCTATATAAGGACATGGAAGAAGGAAGCTTTTGATCTTTGCCTGCTTGTCCTTACCTTGCTAGCAAGTCCATTCGTTCATTAGCATTAGGGTCTATTTCTTCAGGATTCTGGCATATACTGAAGACCAGCTGAGACTTCCAGCCTTATGGACTGAGCAACTACCAGATTCTTGGACTTTCTGTTCATAGCTAGGCATTTTTGGATTAGCAGGACCACAGCCTATAAGTTATTCTAGTGACTTCCCTTTCTTTTCTTTCTTTCTTTTTTCTTTTTCTTTCTTTTTTTTTTTTTTTTTTTCGAGACAGGGTTTCTCTGTGTAGCTTTGTGCCTTTCCTGGAACTCACAGAGATCCGCCTGGCTCTGCCTCCCGAGTGCTGGGATTAAAGGCGTGTGCCACCACCACCCAGAGTGAATTCCCTTTCTATATACACAGATTCATTTTATAAGTACTGTTACTCTAGAGAACCATGACTAATACAGATTTTGGCACCAGAAGTGGTTCTAAACAATAGAAGTATAAGGATGACTCTTTTAAGATCTGGAATAGACTTTCCAATTTGCCAACACATAGAGTTACCAAAACCTCTCTAGTTATGAAAGCCTCTCCTGGGAGCATGGAGAGCACTAAAGGCCCATGGTGTGAACTGTTTTACAAACTTAAAGAGATAAAATACATTTGATTATCCCAATTCACCAATTTTTTGTAAGTGGAAAAGGATTTGGTGACTCAGTAGGTAAAACTTTTAAGTTTGTGGAAAAATAAGTGAAGTGTTAATCTAATTAATCTTATTGATGAAAAAATCTGGAGTTAGATATCAAGTTAAAAGCCTGAAAGATCCAGGGGAGCAGCCACAGTTGCTTCCTACCTCTTTCCTCTGACCAAAAGGACCACTCTCCACCCCACCTTATTACTTCCTGTATACTATCTGTCCTTAGTTTTCCTAATCTCTATGGTGAACTAGTGGCTAGCTCGACCCTCTAACTCCAGACAAGATTTATTTGTCAGAACACAATCAAAATATCATACATTTCCCCCTTTTTGTCTAAATAAAAAGTGAAGATTTTAACTATCATAGTAAAACTATATACAATAAGTACAATAACTATATACAAATATATACAGACAAGAAATACACTCCATTTGAATTTGAAAAATTCAGAGAAAATACTCTATTATCTATCCTACCTTGTTGAGTCCAAAGGGTTGTACCTAATTCACTTTCTATGCTAACTTGTATTATCAACACAAAATTATTTTTTATGTCTCTCAACCTTATACTCTTTACACCACTTTTTTGAGTTTCTTTTCTGAATTTGGTAACAAGGAAAACTATAACTATAACTATTTGGTCTTCAACTCCATCAGAGACCTGAGAAGGATGTAATATTACCTGAGTAAACAGGAAGTACAGAGCAAACAGCTTCCAAAATTAACAAATGACAGAAACAGCTGGCTGCCTGGGCAGTCACCCAAAGTTCCTCTGTAATGTTGGGGCATCCATCTTTGTCCTACAGGCCTAGAATATCTGACAGACTTTCCAATGAAGCAGGATTTTTGAAGGACTGTTCTGCCTTGTCTTGATACAGTTCTGTAGTCACTTTCTTTTGTGTCCTGCTTGTCCAATTTGGACAGCATAATGTCAACAGTCAAGGCAAGGACAGTTTCTTGCCCAGTGGCTAACTTTTGCCACAAAGAAAGTAAATTCCATATGCAGTTTCTTTGATGCCCATTATCTTCTCTGAAGTAGATGGGTGCTGCCAGACATGTCTCACTGTCAAGAAAAGCCTTAAGTTACTAAACATCTTAAATGCCATATTCTGTAGGTCTTTGGAGTGTTTGAAGACCACCCATCAATTTAAATATATCTGTGTATTACCTTGAAAACATACCTGACTATAAGTTTGACTATTATAGATGACTATTAATCTACATTTCTTAATTATACATTACTTTTTTAAATGAACTGTGTTATTAGGAAGTAGCCTTTTGAATTTCAGAGAACCAGGCATGCATAACCTCCTGTGGAGGGTTATGAGCAGGATATCTAAGAGCCATTAAAACCTGAAGAGTTGCCTTAGTCACTGTCTGCTGCTGTTGGATGTGCTACAGGAGGCATATAAAGAGAATAAGGATTAACAGTATCACCCCACCAATCAAAGCATATGTGATCACCCAGGAGGGATCAAAAGTATTGGTGAAATTATTAAGGTCACTCCATGTAGTTAAAAGGAGATTTATTTAATAGTGTAATTTACAAATTAAGGGATAGGTAGGTAGCGGGGTCTGGGGAAGGTGTATTGCAGTCCAGTGGTGTTCTCTGGAGCTCTGCTTGGCCCACCTCCACCGTCCAGGGTCCCGGAACAGAGAGAGCGCTGGCCCATCCAGATCTCGGGTCTCCAGGCGCCTCCCTTGGCCCTGCCTTGTAGGCATGACAGTTGCCAAAGTCTCAATGGGGGTTGGAACTTCCAGATCAAAGCTGGAATGGCTACCCACTACATCTCCCCCTTTTTGTCTAAAGAAGAAAGTTCTAACCTAATACAAGACTATATACAAAGGAATGGTTATCAAATATTGTCCAGGAATAATGAGGGATAATGACCTAGATAAGATGGAACTACAACCAATGCAAACAATATCAAGCAAGAAACACATACTAAAATCCAGAGAAGTATAGAGCATAGGTAAATGGCATGTTACAAAGATCATTCCAAAAGGTGACCTATCCTAAAGAACCTGAATCTAATACTTAATATGTTCTATCTACTAAGTTGTAACTATAACTGCTAGTCTTCATTCCCATCAAAGACCTGAGAAGGAATATAATGGTACCTGAGAAATGGTAGATGGATGCAAGCAACTTTTGGGAATTTTCCAAGAGTAGACAGAGACAGCTGGCAGCCTGGACAGTCACCTAATGTTTCTCAGCATTGTTGGTGCATTCAAATTGGCTACAGGCCTAAAGTATCTGACAGACCCTTTTCAGAAGCAGGAATTCTGAAAGACCATCTTACCCTGTCTTG